GCAACCCCACCTTGCCCTGTCAGAGCCAAGCTGCTTGGGATGGCCCTGGGTACAGCACAGTCCAAGGAGAGGGACACTGGCTGATCAGTCTAGGACTTGGGGAGGCTAGAGTTACAGTACATTGTGGCCCAGATGTCTTGGGACTGGGACCTAGGTCAGTTCTCAGGAGGTGGCATTGAGCATTGCTCTCAGAATGTCTGAGTAGCTAAAAAGTCCCTGATCACCAATTGGATATACCTTAAGTGGCATCTGGGTCATTGGTTTGGTTCCAGGGAGTTGGGAGACAGAGGGCACAGAAAGTATATGTGGGTTGGCAGGCAGCATCAGGGTACCTCTCAAAGGGGTGCCAAGGAGTGAGATGCTGAGGGATGTATCGGAGTTGGCTGTATAGACAAAGGCAATGACTTATGGCATTTTCAGGGGAAGATGGAAAGTGGGAGGAAGCCAGAATGAGCCAAGGAGAACAATGAGCAGAACCTTTAGTACAGGGGACTGGCAGAAGAGCCTCAGGTGCTGAGCCAAGGGAGCAGGGAGCCATGGGGGTGCTGGGATGCTGGGAGCTCAATTAGCAGGTGGGAGCTGTGCTGTGTGTCTGGGTGGAAGGGAAGGAGGTGCAGGGTGGGGCCCAAAGGGTATTTCCTCTTTGTCTTTTTTCTGCTTGTTTCCAAAACTGCTGCTCCCTCACTGCCACCTCCCGAGCATGGCCCTGTTTGGGGTCCCCATCCCCAACCACTCTGTTGGGTTGCAGGCCTTCCTGCCAGGTGCACCCCTCCCCACCAAGGCGGACATAGGGGAAGAGAGAAAAATATAACACATAGCTCAGGTGCTAGACAGGAGAGGTCTAGGGCATGAGTAAGATAAGGCTGTGGTCATCTGGGTGGCCTCAGGGAGGGCTTAAGGCAAAGGTTGACAGGCTGTATGCAGACTCTGAACTGCTGAGCAGCCCTGAAGCAGGGCCAGGAGAGGGATTACAAGGACTGAAGTCCTAGGTCAGGCTGTCATGGAGGCCAGGAAGAAGGAGGGTCCAATGGGGTACTCAGAGTCCAGGAACCCAAGCTTCTGGTAGCCTGGAGGACATTCTGGCCACCTGTGTTTATGCCAAGCAGGGTCATGATCAGGTGCTAGCCAGATCCTAAGGAGCCTGCTGAGTAGCTGGCCCAGTTTGGTAATATTTCACCATGCCCTAGCCAGAAACAGCTGTAGGGGACATCCCTTCTTGGGTGTGAAGACCCTGAAGGTGAGGGTGGGTAGAGAGAACTTTAATCCTAGAAGATCTTTGCCAGACCCACTGTTTCCCAGAGCCCCAGGGTTCCCTCTGCCTCTGGACCCAGAGGCACAGACCCTGTACTCTCAGTGGAGTTGGAGTGGCTCTCAGGAAAAGCATAGGCCCCCTGGGCCTTCAGGTTAGAATAGAAATTTGCCAAGGAAGACAGAGACAGTCCCAGAGATGTGTGGGAGGTGAGGAATGAGCCATTTTATTGTAGTGGCAGCTGGAATGCCTCCAGATAGCTGTTCCTCCAGCTGCCCAACTGCCTAAATAGGAACTATTGACATAGTCTTACAGACCAGCAAAGGCACACAAAGACTGTGTGCCTTGTCCAGAATCACTTAGCTGGCAAGAGGAAGGCTGGGATGGCAGCTAGATGGTAGGGGCTCTTCATGACTGCAGAGAGGGACAGAAAGCCTGTGAGAGCAGCTGTGTGTCTGGGAGTGGAGGGGTGGGTGGTGAACCTCAGACTTGCTATGCAGCCTCTCAGGAGACCCCAGCCCTCCCGGAGTTTCAGTTTCCTCGTCAGTACAGGAAGCAACATAATGTAGTAAAAAATGGAGTGATGAGACCTGAGTTTTAGAACTTGGGGGTGGGGGTGGGGTTCCCTGTCCTTCAAGCAAGGGAACCCCTTCCTCCATAACTCACAGCTCACTAGACCCATGTCCTATGACCCTGTCACCCCAGTGGTCCCACCTCTCAGCTCTGCTGCTTGGAGACTATATTTGTCAGGGTTCTCTAGAGTAACAGAACTTGTAAATCTCTTTCTCCCTTCCTCAGTGTGTGTGTGTGTGTGTGTGTGTGTGTGTGTGTGTGTGTGTGTGTGTATACAGGCACACATGTGTGTATCTGTATGATTTATTAGAACAAGCTGTAGGCTGTGGTTCAGTTAGTCCAATAATGGCTGGCTATGAATTGAAAATCCAAGAATCCAGTAGTTGTTCAGTTCACCAGGCTGGATGTCTTAATTTGTCTTCCCAAAGTAGGCTCTAATATCAGTGAAGCAAGAAAAGAGCAACAGGTTCCTTCTTCCATGTTCTTATATAGGCTTCCAGCAGAGGCATGGCCCAGATTAGAGGTGGGTCTTCCCAGCTCAAAAGGTCTGGACTAAAGGTGTTATCTTTCTACCTCAGCATATAAATCAGAGTAGATCTTCCTTCTTCAAATTAAGCAAAAATCCCTAACAGGTGTTTCCTCTGTTTAGTTAATTCCAGATGTAGTCAAGTTGAAAACCAAGAATAGTCATCATAGAAACCCAGTTCCAATGTGTGGGTTTTGGAGTCACAGTCAGGGATGGCAGGCAGTCTCCCATTCCTGAGGACTCCTCATTTCGCAGGGAATCCTCTCTCTGGATCTCAGCACACTAGCCCAGGATTTGATGCAATGCCCTGGGGTCGGTAAACTGGGAGCAGCTGGCTGGACAGGCTGTGGAATCTGCTGGCCAGCCCAACAGACAGGAAGGACCCCAGGAGAGCCTGCCCCGCCTTGCAAGAGTCAAAGACTTAACAGGTGCAATCCTGAACCAAGTCCGCTCCTATGTGGGAGGGGCAGAAAGAAGGAAGGCCACTATTATTGATGTCATCCATATTTATTTGTGGTGTGAGGACAGACATGGAGCCTAGCACACACTAGGCCAGCACTCCACCACTGACCCACACCCTAGCACAGTTTTACACTTTTTAACATTTTAATATCTGTCCTTGGCCAGTGAAATGCCTCAGTAGTTAAAGGCACTTGCTGCCAAGTCTCATAACTTGAGTTCAGTCTCCAGGACTCAAATGCTGGAGAGAACTGGTTGTCTCTGCTGTGTGTGTGTGTGTGTGTGTGTGTGTGTGTGTGTGTGTGAACTATATTCCTGCGTATGTGTGTGCCCATGTAGAAATAAATAAATCTTTTTTGGGGGGCGGGGGTGGTTTGAGACAGGGTTTCTCTCTGGCTTTGGAGGCTGTCCTGGAACTCATTCTGTAGACCAGGCTGGCTTCTAACTCATAGAGATCCGCTTGCCTCTGTCTCTTGAGTGCTGGAATTAAAGGAGTGCGCTGCTGCCGCTGCCGCTGCCACCACCACCACCACCCGGCAAGAAATAAATAAATCTTAATGTAAAAAAAAAAAAAAAATCAAGGCTAGTTCAGTGGTTAAGAGTGCATACTGGCTGGGATTGGTGGGACACGCCTTTAATCCCCAGCACTTGGGAGGCAGAGGCAGGTGGTTCTCTGTGAGTTCAGGGCCAGCCTGGTCTACAGAGCTGGTTCCAGGACAGCCAAGGAAACGCAGAGAAAGGCTGTCTCAAAAAACAAAAAACAAAACAGAACAAAACAACAAAAAAGAGTGCATACTGCTCTTGCAAGAAACCCAAGGTTGGTTCTAAGCACCTACATTAGGCAGTTCACAATCACCTGTAACTCCAGCTCCAGGGGATCTGACACCCTCTTCTGGACTCAGG